GGGTTCTGCGGCCGCCTCTTCCTCCTCTCATACCCAGCATCTCTCCTTGAAGGGACGGCAGGGGCTCCCGGGGTGGCGGCGGGGGGGACCCCGGTTCTGCCGTCCCTTCCTGGGCCCCTGGGCCACAGGCGCTGATGCGGCAGCCCGGCATCCCCCGCCCCGCGGCGGTCCCCGGCTGTCGGTACGCTGGGAGGAGAGATGCTGGGTATGAGAGGAGGAAGAGGCGGCCGCAGAACCCACACCCAGGCCGCACGCGCCGCCCCGCAACTTATAGCACATGGGGCGGAGCGATGGGCCGGACAGCCAATCCGAGACTTGCAGGTCCTCAATCGGCCCTGCCCTCCACCAAGAAGCGTGTCCGCAAGCGCCTCAGGTTCCCGGTCCTTCTCCCTGGTTAGCCCGGGATCACCCCAAATTTTGGGTGGAAAGTAGCGGTCACTTTCCTCGCCTGGACTCTCACAGCGGTAAAGGGATGCTTTAAAGTCATACATTGCAGTCTCCACCCAGAGAAGGGTTTGGACTGAGCGTCACCCCCGCTCCCCTTCCCCGCCCTCACGACCGTGAGAGCCTGGCCTAGAACTCAGTGCTCAGGATCTCCTGGGCCACAAGGCTCGCTAGGACGCCCTCCCCCATCATTCTGGGGTTGTGCGGTGATTAAGGCAAAGGGACGACTGGCGTCCACAGAAGAATGGACATATGATTGGATTGGTTGCACACCAGGAAGGCACTTGACTTGCAAGACAAACCCCCACAGCCGCTGCTGCTGGGTCCGCCAACCTTCGTGGGGCCCTTAGAGAACTCCAAGGTGTGCAAAATTATTTTCCAGGTCCACCCCTGCCTGTGTGCGCACCTGCCTGCACACGATTCCTCCCCCGTACCGTTTACGTGGAGGGGGAGACTCAGAAGAAGCCGCGTGCTCTGCTCAAGGTCACATTGCGGGATAGTGACTGAGTCTGGACGGAAATGAATAAGCTCAACCATTCATCGGAGCCCTTTGAGATACTTGGATTCCTCTCCTCCCCCAGGCGCTCGGCTCTGCATCTCGGATTTTAATCATCCTGGCTCTACCCAATTTCTCCCCCCCACCCCGCCCCGCAGCTGAAATAGACTTGCTGTTCCCGCATTGGCCCAGACCCCGGTGACCCTGCCTCCGATTGTATCTGTTTGAATGTGCCATCAAAGTCCGGGGTGGGAGGGAGCAAAGTCCGGAGGGCTGGAAAGCAGCTCTGAACCCCGTTAGGAAGTACTACAGCGAGTCCCTGGATTTCAGAGGACCTGCCAAAGGTGTGGCCAGCGCCCCAATCTCAAAGACTCTGAAGAGAAGTCTGGCTAGGGGGAGGAGGAAAGCCTTGGTCCCTCCCTTCCCCTGACCTTCTTCTCTAAGTGCTTGCGGGCGCCTTTTGATTGAGTTACCGCGGACTGTAGGCATGACAACAAGTCTCCCGAGAGGCAGCTCCCGGAGCGAGGGAGGAAGGAAGGGAGAGAGGGTGAGGGAGTTAGATTCAGAGAAGAGAGGAGACTCACAGATAGAAGAGGGGGTGTTTAGTGAACAGGAGTAGCTCTCAGAGCAGACACACCGGGGAGATGACTCCGCGAGAGGAAGAGGAGGGGCCATTCAGCTCAGTGAGCTCAGTCCAGTAACAGGATCCAGGGCTTCGGGTTAACAGGTACCTAGGTGTAGAGACGCGGGGGGGGGGGGGGGGGGCAGCGACGTGGCACAGTGTGGAAAGTGAAGCCCAGGAAATGGGAACTCAGAGAGTCAGAGGGGTTCAATGAGATTGAGAAAGACATCCTAAATATGGGTCTGTTTTTGAGAACAGCTTTGGGTCTCTCAATGCAAAAGCAATCCATTCAGAGAAACTTGACTGGTGTTTTCTGCATTAGCTGCCAACTTCCAGATGAATGGAGGTGAGGAACAACAGACAGGCCCTTATCCTGCACACACACGCACACACACACACACACACACACACACACACACCCAAGTCTCAACATTCCTCCCATTCCTTCATGGTGGCACAAGCCAGTAATTTCACCATTTCCAAGGTAGAGGCTGGAGGATCAAGAGTTCAAGGCCAACCTGAGCTACGTGAAACCCTTACTAAAAAGAGAAAGGCCAGGGATGGCAGCCCATGCCCTTCCTCCCAGTACTTGGCAGGCAGAGGTAAAAGGATCTCTGCAAGTTCAAGGACAGCCTGGTCTACATAGTGAACTCCAGGGCAGTCAGAACAAATTAAGAAACTCTGTCTCAAACAAGCAATAAAGATGGAGAGGGTGGATAGTTCAATAAGGGTAGGGCTACCTAAAGAATATAGTAATAAGGAATCATTATCTAAAGTTACATATAATACATATAAGTCTATGTGTATATACATACATACATACACAGTTTAAATTAAAATTTCCCACCTGGTCTGACAATGCTACCCCCAAGAGTCAGAGACTAAAACCCCAAAACTGAGCTTGAGAAGCCATCTTTGGGGTTGCTAGTCAGGGTAGTCCAAGAGGCTTCTAAAACATTGTAGGCTATGGCCATTGCCCTTGGTTGCTTTCCAGAAGTTGAAGGTAAGTCACTATTGCTGAAGGCACTATGCAGTTTGAACATAGGACCCAAATATCCAAGCCAAACTTGACCCCAAATCCTCCTCCCTGAGCTTTTACGGCACCAAAGGTCCCATGCAAGCTTCCAAGAGAGGGAAGCAGGCAACAGACCTACCCAGCTCCCATGAACCATTTACACTAATGCAGGGGTGGCACCTATATCTCGATGGTAACCAGTAGCTTTCTAATTGGACTTAAGGCTCATTAGACAAGAGGGAAATCATGCCTGCTGCTGGAAATACAGCCAACCATCTCAGGACCCAGCAATTCCACTCCCAGTTTCCACAGTGGCTGCACAAGTTTGCATTCCCACCAACAATGGATGAGTGTTCCCCTCACCCCACATCCTCTCCAGCATAGGCTATCGTTGGTGTTTTTGACTTTAGCTATTCTGACAGGTGTTAAGATAGAGCTTGGAGGAGAATCTACAGCTGCCATTTTACCAAAGCAGCATAATTTCTGTGTTCTAAATCTGTATCCTTATAGCCATAGACAAGTGCAGCTCTCACTCCTTGTCGAAGAAACTTTCCTTTGCAACAGGCAGAGACCATTATAGACAACCACACTGATCAAAATACAGAGCACGAGCGATCATGCGGTGCCCAGCCCCCAGTGATCCGATGTGGTGCCCAGCCCCCAGTGATCCGATGCAGTGCCCAGCCCCCGTGATCCGATGCGGTGCCCAAACCCCCGTGATCCAATGCGGTGCCCAGCCCCCAGTGATCCGATGCGGTGCCCA